TTAACAATGAACTTATTAGTAAAACTCTAGGGGCAAAAATCTAAATATTGATTGATTGTAGCGATGATTCGAATAAGCCCTCAAATTTGATAATTATCGGCCTAACAGTAAGCCTACTAACAACGAATTTTAATTGAATTTTTATTAAGCTAGATACTACGAAATTGAATGTAAGCTTTATCCAACTAGGTAAAAATAATCCTTTCATCGAGCTAGAAGAGGTTCCAAAATTAATCATTTATGTCAAGCCATCCGATTCAAATTAGCAAGCGATTATCTAAACTCGAAAGTTTGTAAAGTGCAACAAGCAAAAAGAACTAGCGAACTTGCCAGCACTCCATCACTGGTTGTAGAAGCAATGCTAAGACGAGCACCCGTAGTCACCATAGCTTTGATGCTGAGAGATGAATGGCAGCTTCTGGTAGCGGAAGTCTCTACAAAAGAATGCGATTTCCATTCAAGAGTGTGGTCGGGGGCAGCAAGCGAAATAGGATCTTCACGCATGCTGGTATGTGTTGGCGTGGCCAGCAAAGAATTATTTGCAGAATCTATCAGAGTAGATGGTGGATCAGGCTGTTTTATGGAAACATTAATATGGTAATAGCCACAATGAGGTTGAAAACAATAATAACAATAAAGGTTAGTAGAGGTATAATGGAGACAAGGAGAATGAATAGGAACTTAAACTTTGACAAAAAAGATAATATCCTTTATCCTTTTTCATCATACTTTGAATCATGAAATTTCTTTAGTAATACAGTTTCAAAGGTATGCACTAAAAAAACACCGATCTAAACATCTCAATATTGTATACGATAATTGTACAAAGAAAATACTTGTTGAAAAGAAATATAGAAATAATTTTAGATATTTAAATGTAAATATACATAATCTAAATTCAATATTTATAAAAGTAAAACTCATCAATATGTATATGAAAGTGAAACAAGGGTAGCAATTATAGAAAAGTAAGTTAACCTTGGCAAAAATAAGGGAGTAATGCTAGTAATTGCATTAAAATGTTATGTTAAGAAAAGGGAACAAGGCATATTTAAAACAATATTTCTTTTATCACTGAGCTTAGCCAAAGCGCAAATGCACCGAATCCAAAACATAACAAAATGAAATAGAAAGTTTGTTTATTAGGCCACTGAAAAATAAGCTAGAACTCTCAAAATAAAAGTAAACATTGCCAACATCTATCTATATGCTTTGCTAGCTACCATCTGCGGCTTCATTTTGACATGAGAGCAACTTTGACAAGAGGCTACAATTTTCGAAGCCAAAAATAAATAAATAAAGTATTTAAGTTATGTAATAATGACATAAGGAAATAGGATAACCGTAGACATAAAATGTGGATGGTAAATTCTAAACCACTCAAACCTTAATGCTATTCCTGTAGAAAACAAAACACCTCCCTGTTTCCAAATGGTCGATTCTGCTGAAGGATTCACTTGGTTTGATCAATTAATGACTTCGCAATGCGTTACGTAGCGAGTCCACTGGCAGAAATAAATATTTTTTGCCAATAAATGAGCCCCAAAGTTGCTCAAATATATAAGCAAATATAAGTTTGCTTCATCGACAAACCGACCACAGAATGTGATATAGAAAAATGTCAGGCTTTAAAATTCATATCTGCCTTCTGTCCCAAGGATAATCATGACAATGCGACGTAGTGGTTAACTTATCGAGATTATACGCTGCACTGTCATGGTTCAAGTCCCGCTGACGGTGCTGGGGAGACCTAGACGAAATCGAAACCACAGTCTATTCCTGTCTGGATAAAAAAAATTTGGGGGAATTCAATGGAAACGTAAAGTCTAGCCATAACATTGTGAAAATTCAACTACCAGTGCCCTTATCACTTTGAACGAAATAGGATGAATACACCTCATATATAAGATATACTGGTAGCCTCAAAAACCTATTTATAAACGAAGACTATCTCTAGGTGTTGGATAGAAGGAGAAAGACAGCAGAAAGAGCCAAATGCTTAATAAAATGAGATCTGATCTGGACTCTAAGATGTAAGCTGAATAACAATTATTGCATACCAATAGTGCATATGAATTCAAAATCACAGAACAGGCGTTAGCATTGCAATTTATTTATGTAATGACCACATCCACTCCCTCTTCATGCATAAGCCTCATTCGCCTGCATGCATGTAGGGTTGGCATGGAGCCAACCAAATAACTAGATATGTAGAAAAACTGGGTTTGAAGAATCCCTTAATATATTGATGCTGGAGT